CACATAGAAGAGTCGTGAGATTCTATAAGATTATCATTTACTATAGGTTTTGTCAATACAATTTTTTTCTCCATTTTTATATGTTTTGTAAAAATCAGTTCATTTAAATTCTCACTCGTGTCCATAGCCTCTTCATCGTAATTTTCTAACGCAAAATTTTGATTGCGTTCATCTTTCGAAATTTTTTCGTCCCTAGTATCTTTTAAGAATGATTGCTCTGGGGTTTCGTCGAATTTTTCGTCAAAATTTTTTTCTTCCGATAAAAATTTAAGACGTCCATCGTAATAGTCTATTAGTTTTTCCACGGAAGTTAGCAGGGCACTGGATATTTTTTAAAATATGTCCGCGGCAAAATTATTCTTTTCACGGATAATTAACGGCAAATTATGCGAAAGGAATTTTTGCTTTGAGAAAAAGTTGTCCTGCCAACTTCAGAGAGGTCTTTGGAACTCGATGGCTATTTTCGAAAATACTTTTAATAGCATTCGTTACGTTGTGAGCGGTTTTATTTTTAATCGCTTCAACCCAAGCCTTTTTCTGTTCTCTAACCGTCTAAATATGAATGTAACTTTTCTCTTATTTTTATTTAATAAATGGCTGCTTTATCTTTATTGATTTAACATCATCTGCCTCTTCTTTATCGAGATATTCAAGTATGAAACTTTCAGTATTTCCAAATCTTTGTTCAATTTTATTTATAAATTCTTTATTTGCACTAAATAAACTATTGTTAATAGCTTTCTGAATTAGTTCAACATCTTCTTTAGCATCCTTGTTCATTGCTGTAGTTAATAAATTGATTCGTCCATTAACAACGTTTAGAGCGCTATCATAATTATCTTTAATCTCATCGATTTTAGTATTTAACTTTTTAATATTTTCATGTAGATACGTGTACGTAACAGCATCATTAGGATTTATAGGTGTACCTAAATATCTCATCTTTTTAAAATGTAGATTTAAACTTTTTTATTCTCTATCAATGTCAATTTCGGGCAATTTATCTAGAAAGTACATTATTTTTTTTTTTTCATCTAAATGATGCTGATTTGATGAACTTTCACCAATTTTATTTACACTACTCCTTTTTTTGTTTACTCTATTATATTACTGTCCTTTAAGTTCTTCGATAATGGAAATTATCTCGTTTTTGTAATTATTATGTCCAATACTCGTTGATGATACAAGTAATCGTAATCTGTCTACTAATTCATTAGGATTATCCCAAAAAA